GAAAAGTACACCGAGTAAACTAAAATCAGTGAGAACTTTGAGATTGTCAGATCCGCCTGGATACCTTTCTAAAACTTATGAAGCAGGTTAGCCACAAAACTAAGTAACTACTATAACTGCCTAGTGAAACACGCAGAGAAAATTCAGGAACATGACCTGATACCAAAAAATCCTATACTCCTGAATGTTATCGAATCCTAAAATCCTGAATCCGGTCATGATACAGGGTATTCCAGCCAGAAGATGAAAACACTTAGTTTTCTGACAATACTCTAAGAAATCAGCTTAACTTCTGGCTCAAAACGATAGTACCTGTACCCCTTTCCTCTATTTACCCACTTATTTAGGTTACTATTTATTTATGTTATTTATATGATTTCTTACGATTATTTATAATAATCCACGTAAAAGGTCATACAAATAACTGATAATTCAATAACTGATACTTTGTAGCCTCAATCACAAACATCACTGATGACTCGCAGTAGCCATCGAGGAGAGGAGGGTGAAGGTGGTTGCTGGCAAAGGACTCGCGACTACCTCACCGAGCTTTATCACAATACCAGGTACTGCTCTTTGCCCTGTCAGACCCAATTTTTGTAAATACATATTGAATCGGCTCACAAAGAAAAAAACACTTGGTCGGAATTCTGGTCCAGAATGTTGCTCTGCAGTACCCCTTCCCCAAACATGACCTTTTTCATAATTTCATGCTCAGGAAAAAAGCCTTCGGTTCTTTCTCAGCACCTATTGACTCCTTTCCACAAACTTTTCTCAGCAACCGGATATTGCCCCGATTAATGAAGTGAAATTTACAGAGAACGAGAAATGACTCCACGACTGCTGGCCAGTTTGTGCTGTATCCTCCTACTGCTGCTACTCCTTCTTATCCTCCTAGGAATCATTCTCAACGCTATTTTCAACATCTACTCGGTCCGTTGCAGTCATTCCTAACCGTTTTTCGATCACTTTTCCATTTTCCAGAAGAACCCTTTTACAGGTGAGCGAATTCCTTCTGTATCCACCGGTGTGTGAGGAATGTCGTCGAAAGAATCCGAATCTTCTCACTGCTGCTATGCCCTCATCTCTCTACATTCACTTCTACTCTTCTAATCAAGCCCATTTCGAGCTACGGGGAAATCCGCCCTTCAAAAGCAATTCATTCACTGCCATCGATTTCGAAACGGTCAGTTTGGTCACCTAACTCAGAAACAAAGTTTTATACTTTTCCAAAATAGTGCGGATTACATCACTTTATTTCATATCGTTTTTATGTCATATGCGTTAGAATCATTGAGCTGTTTCATTACATTTAAAGTTTATCACAACATTTTGGGTGGAATTTGGGGGGAGGGGTACCTCGTGTTTCAAACACTATGCATAAAGCACGAAGAAGGGGTAGCCGTCGTTGCAGGACTGATGTCACTTAGTCAGGAATAGTATGCGCTACCGCCTACACTTTTGAAAAGAAATGAACTAGTAGTCAACTGAATATTCGATCCATCCCAGTGGTGTGGCACCTTCTCCCCGAAAACCGCGTCGCGCGCAGTCGCTCGCTAGGAAGGGAGAGGTTTGAATTCCCAGTGGAACGATACGGTAGCCGCCGCGGAACCACTGCTGCTTACCATAGAAATTTGGGGGAAGCCACCAACCCCAGAGAATAAGGGTGATCCCCTTCCCCCCAGATTTTCACCTTATTTTGTCTCAGATTCATTCTATAAAAGACTAGGATATTACCTTGGAAGATTGCTGGTTCGCTCGAGTCGTTCTCGACTTCGAGGTTTCTCGAGGCTGTCAAAAACCACTTACAGAAGTTCTCATCGAAGTTAAAGTGAGGTACCTTTGCATTTCGCTGGCGGAATAAAATTGTACTCAATTACTTCTTTACTAATTATTTCAGTCTTTTCTTAAAGCGTGGTGTTCTATGTACTTCGCATATTTACCCTACAAATCAATTTTGCACTTCACTCTACATAATTATATCCATTATATATTATATATATGTATATTTCTAGGGATACATTGCTGTAGCTGACCATGCCCTGACAGATTCTAATGGAAGACATTTCACCTGCTTCATCATGCCACTGGATCGATCAGCTATTCCTAGTATGGAGGCACTAAGAGAAGCCGTTAGCGAGAGCGATTACGAGGTTCGAAATAGCCTAAGTTCCTTTTGCAGAGCCACCACAGTCAATGGTTCCGTTACAGATCCAAGCCCAATTTGGTTGGCAGGAATTCTGGCAGTTTGACGCCGAACCTATCGAGCCAGTGGCTGCAAATTCCAAATTCACAGAGAGAATTTCTGATTGTGTTGGAGCCAAGTGGTATTACCTCAAACAGGCCGTACACAGTAGAGGTAAGCCAGATTCGACATTTCAAGGTCCTACTTGGTTCTACTCTGACGTTGTGACATTGCAGACGCCTCATGCTCGGATTGCTACGACTTTTGTCTGCCTGACTGGGCAGTGGTCAGAAAGGAGAAGTATGAAGACCAGAGCACTATTGGAATCAGACGACTCGACTGTTTCCGGTTGTACGTACCTGAGTGGAGGAACTTCAGGTGCTTCCCTATTGTACCCTTCTATAACCGACCATTTACTAAGACGTCCGACTTCAAAAGTCTTGCAAGAACATTTTCCTAAAATTTCTGATAGAAGGCGCAATAAAATCAGAATACCCAGTCATCTGCTCTCGTAAAGAACCTCTGTCAAAGTTTTAGATGCCATGATTTCATGGGAACAGACCCTTAGGAAAAGAGGGAGACCTCATGAACGAGGAACAGGGTGTCCGATAACTTTAGAGGTCTGAAAGAATGAGTAAAAAAAAGTTTCGTAAAAATTTCACTTTAATCCGCGAA